TGCTGATTTTATACACTGCTTATGCAGTATTTACTTTTGGTTAATTATACTGTATGTGTATAAGTGATTGGCTTTGTGCACTTTTCTGTATAGGCATTTTGCACTTTAGCACTTGCACTTTATTCCACTGCCCAGTTCAGCATAATGTCTTGTTAAACTGCTATACCTAAGAGTTCCTTGCCTATTGTGGCTTTTTAGATTCTTAATATTTTGGCTGTTGTGCTGTGATTGTTTTTTACATTTTTTATTAATAAACTTTTGCTGCTTTTGCTTGATATTCTATATTTCTTTCTCATTCCCTCAACATTACACACCAATATAGTGATTGTGGCGCCCTGTTCTTTCTAGTGTTTTGTTTTTAGTTATTGGAGTTGGAGTGTCCTGTTTACAGAGGCTTGCCTGCACTTGGTTTTTTGTTATTGTTCACCCACCCACCTTTCTGTTTCTTTCTTATTAGCTAGATGTATGTCTCGTGTTTTAGATGGATATTTGCAAAAATAACTGAGTTAAGCGTCTATAGTGACATATAGCATACAATAGTATGGGGTTCAAAGTCTGTGAGCACTTGCCTCATGGGGAATTTGTATCTGTGCATAATATTTTTCATTTTCAAGTGGCAGATTCACATTTTTTTCACCCCAGTGAAAGCTATTGAAGCATTTATTGGGATAAAAATGTAGTAGAGGTAATTTATAGATTTGTGGAGGGTGAATCCATAAAGCCTTTTCTCATGCTATACAATAGCAGTAAGAGTGTTCTGGTTGATTGACTTGTAAGCAAATCAATTAGTAGTCTCTGACTGAGCTTGAAGAGGATGGGAAAGCCTTCATAAGGCTCATTCTGAACCATGTTACCCTCCTTCTCACTTAAAATATTTTTATTGCAATGTGTTCTTCTGTATTTTTTCCCCCCCAAAAATCCAGTTTTTCTTTTACAACAGAGTTGTGGCTTTATGGATTTTTATTTTGCTTTTTTGAGGCTGAAGAGTTTTAAGAAGAAAGAAAACATCTAATGGTAAGTATACTGTGACGAGATCAAGCCTGGTTGCTCGCCTGGTGCCTTTGGATTATGGCCCCATGTTAAAAGGCTTGATTTTCCCCTGTGGCAATCAGTCTCGCCACATTGCATTGGAGAAGCCTGGTTGCTCGCCTGTTGCCTTTGGATTATGGCCCCATGTTAAAAGGCTTGATTTTCCCCTGCAAAGACATGAAAGCCGGGTCATTTGGTGCTTGCCCTGTTTGAGCGGTGATACCCCAGATAGCTATGCCATGGAGCCCATTCATATAATGAAAGACTATGGGAAAGACTTTGGCTCCATGGCAATTGAACTGTATGTGTGTGCTCTGAGCGCCATTCAGTAATAATGTGCGCTCAGATCTGAGCTATCTGGGGATATGTTGAATGTACCTGTTTTGTGCAATGGCTGCACAGTTATGTGTTTTATGTGTTTTATTGTCTTTTGCTGCCATGTGTTCAATGGAGTTTTGCCTCTGTCCTTGGAGATAATTGGATTACTTCCCAATTATCTCCAGGATAGAAGACACTTTGGAACTGGCTTTGGGCAGAAAAGCCATGCTTCCTTTGGTCACAAAGGACTACGATCTATCCTTTGAACCAATGGACCAATTTGGATGATTTTGACATATGTTTGTATTTGGAGTATGCTGATTCTGAAAATTTTATGTGAATGTGATGTATACTTTTCAAGTTATGAATAATGTGGAAAATTTGTATTTCTCTGCTTGTTATAATTACATTATCCATTGTGTAAGGTAATTGAATCACAGGCAGAGGGGAGGATTTTGTGTGGGAGTGTCTGAGTGTATTGTATGTGTTTATTGGTTGTGTTCAAAAACCCTGTGGGTGGTACTAATGTGTATATAAGAACAATAAACCCACAGCTCTGGCTGTTCACTGCTTGACCCTCAACACGGAGCTTTGTCTCATTCTTGGGGGGATTTACTGTATGCTGTTCCAGTTTGACTGCTAGGAGTGTAAACCTATTCGTATGGTTTTTCCCATTCGGCTGTTTACAGCATTCGCATGGTTCCGGTTCGGCTGTTTACAGCATTCATATGCTTCTCCAGTTCGGTGGATTGGTGTCTACAGTAGCTGCCTGTGTATCTGGAAGGGGAAGATCTACTAAATGGCTGTTAACCCCTTTCATGCCCGGGGTGCTGTTACATATACATTTTTTACAGGTATTTAGACTTTTTGCCCATATTTATTACAGCTATAAAAGAGTTTATTCAATACAATGTAGGGAATTGAAAAATGAATTGTTCATCTCAAGGTAAAAGATTTGAAAAATGTCTCAAAATCATCCATTTTGTTTGAATTTTTTTTAAATTCTTTATTTTTATTGTGCTTTGAGTGACAAAACATACAAACTCTTGGTGCCCCAATAGCATTCCTCGAGCATAGTTTCAAGCACAACAGTTGGAGCATTAGTATTATCGGCACATTTTTTTTTTTTTTTAATTCTTTATTTTTTGTTGTGCAGGTGGGTATAGACCATAGCCATACACCACAAAAGCGTGCATTTATATTTGAACATAGATAGGTGAAACAGTGGCATAGAGAATTTGCACATTTTTGTTTTGAAAACCATAATGAAAAACTAGAAGGCATAGTCACGTGAGGTTAGTTATAGCATTTGTCTCAACATATCTAAGTGTCGCTTGTCTCAGAATATTAGTAAATGCAAGTTTCATTAGCATGGATTGAGGTGACAAGAAGTGATGTCCCGAACGGTTCGCCACGAACGGTTTGCCAAGGACTCATCATTGAGTAAACTTTGACCCTGTACCTCATAGTCAGCAGACACATTCTAGCCAATCAGCAGCAGAACCTCCCTCCCAGACCCTCCCATCTCCTGGACAGCATCCATTGTGAAGCTGCATTCTTAGTGAGCTGTCCAGGAGGTGGGAGGATCTGGGAGGGAGGGTCTGCTGCTGATTGGCTGTAATGTGTCTGCTGACTGTGAGGTACAGGGTCAAAGTTTACTCAATGATGAGTCCATGGCAAACCGTTCGTGGCGAACCGTTCGCGAACCGTTCGGCGAAGAGTTCGGGACATCACTAGTTACAAGATGTTGATTAAACATGTCTGGCTTAGAGTAGTATCATGTTAAATGGTACATCATTCCAACCAACCAAATAGTTGTGGAGGTCTGTAGCTAGGTGTGTAGTTAGTACAATTATATGAAAAACAGGAACGTGTACGGATGTTTTTATACTGCGATTATCTTAGCTAGGGTGATTTTTCACATGACTGCTTTGGTGGACAGGGTTGCATATTTAAGAGAAAGCATTGATTTAGCATAAACATTCATGCCTTCCTGTAGTATCTAATCATGCTGACTGCTGTGCTAAAGAGGGTTTATTAACTCACAGTTTATTAACCCACAGTTTGGTATCTCGCGGTATGCCCTGGCACTCCATAGGCTGTCTAGTGTCCATAATGTGGGCCAACATGCATGCAGCTAGTATGCCTCTGCCGTGGCATTAGTTAAAACAAAACAATTATGCAGTATGTGTGAAATCAATAAGACTCATCTAAAGTGGGATCAATAACATAACATTTTTAACTTGCTATCATCTTCTTTAGCGGTGGAGGGGCTGCATAAAAATAATCGCCAGTGTCCAGTAAGGTGCTGCACCAAGGCATACCAGGGGTGCATTCCAGGCAGACCCAGATCAGCGGTATTTTAATCCGAAGCCATGGATGCAGAAAAGCCAGACGATGAACGGAGACACCAAACTGAGTCACCTAACGGACTATCTCCTGAAGCACATCCATGGCTTCGGATGAAAATACCGCTGATCTGGGTCTGCCTGGAATGCACCCCTGTAAGGTCGGTTGGCTCCAAGGTGGTCTATGCTCTCTGCGGGTCGCTGCATCGCTTTCGCTCGTTTGGGGTTGAGCCTGCACCGCCAGCATCCAACCTGCTAGCCTTCTCCAGAATCGCCTGAATGCTCTGTCTATGCGTGTGGTTTGGCGAGCTCGGGTGGGCCGGCTCCGGTCCATGCAGTTCGCGCCTCTGCATGGAGAAGTCGTCCATCATCTTGAGCTCCTCTGCTGAGAGAGCCTCATGGGTTGCTTGGTTGCCGGGTGAGGTTACCGGTTGGGCCTGGCGGGACCGGGATGACCCCCACCGGTCCAGAGGGGGGGGTTGCAGGGCAACAGACTTGCCCACGATCACAGCAGGCCTTGCGCTAGGAGATCGCCCGTCTCCCCCAGGTGCTTGGCCGCCATTTCCGCTAGGCCGCATGTTCGGACGGTGGATTGCTGGGGTGCTGAGACTTAAAAGGGTGCCCACATGCTGTGCTTTCTATCCACTATCTGCTCCTCTCTGAGTTTTAGTCGTTTAGAGTGTGATATTCTGTAGATTAGGCTCAAATGTGCAGGAGCTGTTAACAAACATGTCCAGCCATCTTGGCTGTCAGGCCCCGCCCCATCGGCACATTTATTATACGTTAGAGTAATGTTGAGTAGAACAGGTTGTTAGTAAATGCGAGTCATAATAGCGAGAGTTGCGGGTACAAGAAGTTAATCAACATGACTGACCTAGGTTAGTAGCATGCTGAGTTGGTACATTATCCTAACAAATTAACAAATTAGAAGGTTGCAGGTTTAATGATATATATCAAGCTTTACCAAACAGCCATGTTGTCAGAGTGAAGTTAGGTAGTCTATGTCTAACAGTGCTAGAGCGACTTTGCTAGTGTATCTGTCAGATGAGGCAAATGCTTATTTATATAGTCATAGTAAGCAAGCTAAACTGTAGGTCTAGGCATACAATCTGGGGCTGCATAAGTGTAAGGAGAGATGCCTATGGTTGCAGTATGGCTGACCAAGCGTATAAACATATATGAGCAAAACAAATCAAGGTTACTGGCATATTGCACAACACATAAGAGTCAATGGAGGGGGTGATCACCGAATTCCATGTGCGTTTTACGTCTCTCAGTGTTCAGTGCAGCCGGCAGCCGCCCGCCTCAGGTAATCAGTCTGGTGTTTGCTTTAGCCGATACCCATGATAGGTACTTACTGCGGGCTGATGGCTTCTCCGGGGTCCCTTTGGCCCCGGGCTGGTTTGAGGGCCAGCTTCTTCGAACCCCGGGCTCTAGATCCCAGATGGTCCAACACCTGCTCGCCAAGAGGGCGGCGGAGGGTTCTGTTGCGTGTTCATCGCTTGTTGCGGATTGTTCTCTGTCCACGTGCGTCCGCTGTGGGGTAGGTGCCCCTGTGGCCCTCAACTTGTGCGGGCTGGTCTTGGGTTTGGCAGCTTGCTGAGTATGTTTTGCGCCTGTTTGATGGCCATCAATTTCTGGGCCTAGGCCCTTCTGGGTTTCTTGTTTTAGTCGCTGTGTGGGTTGCGCACGCCTCTCCAGCTCGGCCCAGAATCGGGCAAACAGCTTGTCTATAAGTTGGAGTGTTTGCTCCACGAAGTGCGTTGCTTTGTGCGAGGCGTGTGCGTACGCCATCTTGGGCACCCCGGGGGATCGTGGCTGTCGATGGTCTGTGTCAGCCGGTTGTTCCATGTGGCAAGTTAAGTATGGTTTTGCAGCCCAGTGGGTTTTTAGCTCGGTTTTTAATGTGCCAGACACAGGTGCTCATGCAGCACACGTCTGGACTGCTCTGTAGCCAGGCTCCGGCCCCCTTGGTTGAATTTTTTAACTTGTTTCTCAATTCACCGCAATCTTTAATTCTAATTTCACAAAAAGGTGCTAGTATTTACATACTCTAAAAAATAATGTCTAAAGTATTAGAATTGTATGTAAAATATTCCTTTTGAAAGACACAAAACTCTTCTTATCTTGCAACAGATACAACCATTTTGTGAAATCAATGCAAAATCAAAAAAGGGCACGGCATAATATTTTTCTGTTATGGATTTTACCAAGCATTGCAAAATAAATAAAGCAGTGAAGAGGTTAATCATAACCCAGTAAATAATCTAATTTAGAAAGGCAGTTTGTACAATGTAATTATTTGAAGCACTTATGCCAAAGAGTGTAATTTGTCAATATTGGAAATGTAATTGCAACTTGCAACTTGCATTGTCAAAATAATTCTGAAGGATTCATATTTCAAAAAACTTCACCATGATGAGATGGAAAATAGAAGGCCTTCTTATTACTGACATCTATCCAGCCAAACAAAAACCTATAAGTATAGTAACATATTGAAATTCGGTTGATGGATTCAGGCATTCTGTAACTACATTTGAAAATGAAATGTAATTTTAAGGCACATCACATGCGAAATGCAAAAGCTGAAGTTCGTAACAGCATAGAGGGGCAGTATGATGACTTAATTCAATAAAACCAAGTGCACAGGATGTAATTCAATTATATCAATAAGTGATATTCATCAGAGTTACTAATGTTATTGAGACAGGAATGTACATCAAGCAATGTAGGGATCATCTAGCAATACTAATACTTAAATACACTGCTGGATTAAGAGCCTATTGGGCCTGATGCTGACGATTATGATGGGCCTAAGTACAGAAGTTTTCTGATAGAAAAGCACTATAAGAGCCATACCTCCCAAGTGTCTTGTATCTGGTGGAAGGGACTGAAGGGACAATTGCAATTAAACTAATACTTTTCCCTCATTAGACTTACAGAAGTTGTCTGTCATTATTGATTACTCTATCCTATTTTATTTCTATTTTTATTGCATTATACGCAATCCACCATTTAGGGCTTCCATATCCATATTCAACATTTTAATCAAATTCATGAAAATAAAAAATAACTTTAAAGAACTAAAAGTAAATTAGCAATAAAAAATTAAAAAATAAACTTTCTTGTCAGACTTTAGACTTGAAAGAAAGACTATTCTGTAGCAGTAAGTGATAGAGAACTTAAACTACATCAGTTGAGCAATTAACTAGAAGTTGATGCAATATCATAACCCCCAGACACTCTTCACAAAAGGTTGGTCTAAAAGATTCAGTGCCCAGGCAAAGAGAAGACTTGTGAAGACTTGTGATGATAGGTAAAGAGGGGGCCATTAGTCACTTGAAAGAAGATAAAAAGATCAACTGCTCTAGCTTGACTAAAGGTGCAGTAGTCAATAATGGCAATGTGGCAAGAAAGAAGCAATTTAGCCTAAACAAGTCATATGAAAACACATCTAGGGTTTGTTAAAAAAAGTAAGCATACCACCATTACCATTGTCTAGGAGGGACACCGGTGGTGAAAAGGGTAGAATTGCATCACTGACTCCACCGAAAGGTTTTGTCTGGAAAATTAGCATGTCAGCTTGACATTTATGCATACCAGGCTGCTTGCCAATGAAGCAGGTCAGCCCATCAAGGGCACTCAATGCAGGCAGCTCTGTTTCAGTGCTCTCTGTATGGTTCTAGTGCTCTAAACATAGTGTGGATGCATCCTCAAAAGCAAGACACCAGGGAAAAAAAGCTGGGGCAGGATCCAGTTGGGGCAGAATCCTGAGACCGGAACTTATATTATTGGGAATCACAGAACAGACTGACTTAACTAAGATGTAGGGAAAGGTTGTGGTTAGAAGAGACTGAGCTTTGTGACCACAATTCAAACCACTATATGTGCAAAGAAAACACTGTCCCTCAAGAACACTATACCTACAATAATATAAGGTTTTAAGATCAGAATGCTTTGGGGGCATTTTTCTTCAACAAGATCTGGGAATCTTGAGAGATTTGAAGTATGAAAAATGACAGGCCAATACTGCATGAGAACATTTTTAGATTGTGCAGCTTAAGCTTGGGAGACTGCTTTCCTTTAAACACAACAACTATCCCAATAATAAGACAAAAGCAACTTTGGATTGGCTCAAGAACAAAAACATGAATATTCTACAGCACAATTTCAAAATTGCAATCAGTGAGCACAACTGCAATATCATGTTGATATAGCATTACTGTGCGGGTTTGTATAAGGCTGGTGTTAACTACCAAAAATAATTTAGATCCTAGAAATATTAGGCATTAAGTAGTGATATATACATTTATTATGAGTTATCTTTTTTTTTAGTTTATTGTGGAACAAATATATACAGAAAATTCTAGGTTTTGTTTTGGTTCAGAACTTGGTCAATTACCTCCGTCTTTAAAGGGACACTGTAGTCACTATAAGCATTTCATCTCTTTGAATTGGTTCTAGTGCCTGGAGTGCCCTGGCACCGTCCCTCCATTCAGTGTTGCACCATGTTCGTGCAGTATGCCACAAAATAAGAGTCCCTGGCCACTCACAGTCCGGTCCCTTCAATATGTGTAGCTAAGGCAGAGATTACACACTTCCTTGTTGTCATACCCATTCATACCGTCAGTTGGAGCTCTGACAGGCTAAAAGCAGTCAGCTGACACTCTCAGCCAATACTTCCTTATTAGCAAAATCAGCACAGAGGGGATGGATTGCCGGGGACTCTTGTTTAGCATTAAAACATTCAAAGTTTAAAAACTGTTTAATGCTGAAAGAAATGATGGTACCAGAGGACTCCAGACACTATAACCAGTTTAATGAGATGAAGCAGATACAGTGCCTACGGTGTCCCTTTAAGAACTTAATAAGAGGGGTTTGAACACTAATACAAGCAGCATGTTTCAGTTTTATCCTCTTTTAAATATCTACTGAAAAATACCTAATGTTAGCTTTAAAATGTACTCTTACAGCAGATGAGTCTGCAATAGAAAAACTGTTTGGCATTTGTGAGTTTGTATAATTTACAAGACAGAAAATAATAATCATTTGCAATGGGGTCTGGATACTTTTGCAAGGTACTGTACATATAAATGACATGGATAGTTAAAATCTGAAAAGTGGATATGATTAAACAACATCATGTCTTATGCATCTCTCAAAACATTTCTGTTTATTATGCAAGCTTCACAGGTTGATGAGCTATGCTAGTAGCAGAATTGCACGATGCTGTGTTTTGAATTTGCCAGCATAAAGAATTGGATTTCAATATTTTGTTTTAAAATCAATTCTTTCACTCAGTAATTTCCTTTTGTGCGATAGCAATTTTCTGTGATGACCTGGTGATGTTTATAGTGGCAGATAAATAATAGCTCCCAATCTGACAATAGCAATTACAGAATAAATAACAATATTAACCCCTTAAGGACTGGACTGTTTTTGCGATGTACATTTGCGACCAGGCCTCTTTTCACACTTTTCTGGTGTTTGTGTTTAGCTGTAATTTTCCGCTCTCTCATTTACTGTTCCCATACAAATTATATCTTATTTTTTTCAGGACAAAATGAGCTTTCTTTACATACCATTATTTATATAATCTCTTGTAATTTAATTTAAACAAATAAAAATATATGATGAAAAATTTAAAAAAATACATGTTTTTTGACTTTTACTTGAAAAATCTTTTACTCATCTACCAAAGCGAATGAAAAAACCTGCTAAATAGATTCGTAAATTTTGTCCAGAGTTTAAAAATACCCAGTGTTTACGTGCTTTTTTACTTTTGTTTGCAAGTTATAGGACTATAGGTACCAGTAGGATATTGCGGTTTCAAAACATACATTTTTAAAATGTATCAGTAGTGACATTGTAACACTATTATCTGTCATAAATCTCTGAATAACACCCCACATGTACATTTTTTTTTTTTTTAAAGTAGACAACCCAGAGTATTCAATAAGGGGTATGTCCATTTTTTTTTAGGAGCCACTTAGTCGAAAACACTGGCCAAAGTTAGCATTCATATTTGTTTGTGTGTGAAAAAAGTAAAAAACTAAATTGAACGCTAATTTTGGCCAGTGTTTGTGACTAAGTGGATACTATAAAAGACTGGACATACCCCATTTGCAATACTTTGGGTTGTCTTCTTTTGCAAATGGTATGCCATCATGGGGGTAATTCTCATTCCTCAAAGGCAACGTAACCAACCTGGCCTTTTTCAATGTAAAAATATTTGACCCATATATTATATGTAACTTTCAAAAACGCTATAAAACCTGTACATGGGGGGGTACTGTTATACTCGGGAGACTTTGCTGAACACAAATATTAGTGTTTCAAAACAGGAAAACTGATCACAACAATTATATCATCAGTAAAAGTGCTGTTTGTGTGTGAAAAATGCAAAAAAATGTAACTTTCACTGACAATATCATCGCTGTGATATGTTTTACTGTTGTGAATCACTAATATTTGTGCTCAGCGAAGTCTCCCGAGTAAAACAGTACCCCCCCATGTACAAGTTTTAGGGTGTCATAGAAAGTTACAGGGTAAAATATAGTGCTAGCAAATTAAATACTCTGGACTTTTGGCCTGGGTTGGCAGGCAGGTCCCTTAAATTGTAATCAATAAAATTACTTAATTATGTAAAAATATTACATAAATACGCATGTAAAATTTAAATATATATGCATATTTATATATTTGAAGTCTACGTGTATATTTATATAATTATTTATGTAATTTTGTATATGGACATATGTATATTTCGTATTATTTTTATTTATATAGACATA